GTCCTGGTCACAGTAGTAGTGAATGATCCCGTCCAGTCTGAAGATAAGGTTGTTTGAGGAACAGGAGTCTCAATGACTACAGTGTTGGTGCCATTACCAGTTCTAGTAATAGTAGTAGTGAATGATCCAGTCCAACCCGTAGAAGCAGTAGTTTCAGGAACTGGAGTTTCAATAATCACAGTGTTGGTGCCATTACCGATTCTGGTGACAGTGTTGGTGAAAGTACCGGTCCATGGTTCAGTGGTACTTTCAGTTGAAACTGGGACTTCGATGACCACAGTATTAATCCCATCTGTGCCAGAAGCAGTAGTAGAAGTGGTGAAGCTTCCACTCCATGCGGAGGTAACTGTGAAGGTGACTTGGATTGGAGTTTCAGATACTGGAACAGGAGTCTCGATCACAACAGTATTGGTACCGTCAGTACCAGTTCTGGTGGTGGTGGTTGTGGAGTTACCAGTCCAAGCAGAAGTAACGGTGGTTTGAGGAACAGGAGTCTCGATGACGACAGTGTTGGTGCCTTCAGTACCGGTTCTGGTGACAGTGGTGGTGAAAGAACCGGTCCATCCTTCAGTAATACTGGCAGTACGTGGGATTGGGGTCTCAATCACAACAGTGTTGGTACCATCTGTACCAGTTCTGGTGACAGTGGCAGTGGCAGTTCCAGTCCAGCCAGTAGTGACGGTGGCAGTACGTGGGATTGGGGTCTCAATCACAACAGTGTTGGTACCATCTGTACCAGTTCTAGTAACGGTAGCAGTCACAGACCCAGTCCATGGTGCAGTAACAGTTACAACAGGTGCAGGAAGTTCGACAATAACACTAGCAGTCTGCCCTGGGCTAGCAGATCTAGTGATAGTAGTTCTAACCAGTCCAGTTCCAGTNCTGGTGACTGTTGTTGTTGGGATTGGAAGAAGAACAACGACCGTTTCAGTGTTACCACGACCAGTGGCAACTGGTAATGTAGTAACACTAGTTCTTGAGCCTGTATAAGTCTGAGTAACAGTTGTAACTACATCTCCTTCAGCTGGTCCTCCAGATCCAATTTCGCCCAAAACCAAAGACCAATCTTCTATGTAGGTGCTATTGAGGACTATCTGGCTGTTGCAAGTAGCAACATCAGTGTAGGTAGCGAGGACAGATTCGCCTTCTGGGAAGCTGGACAAGAAATCAACAAGAGGGCGGTAGCCTTGAGGAATATCTTCGTAGGAAATTTGAACGCGATTTTCCTGACAAACCACACTAATATTTGAGTCTAATTGGAAGGTTTGGACAAATCCCCAAGCACTAAGTTGGTTGGTGATTGCAGTCTCAACGGATGTACAATTAATGACGGAATTCTCTAGGGAGATCTCAAGTTGACCTCTTGCAAAACCATCAGGGCAAAGTTGACCGACTGCATATGACTGAAGCTCCCTTCTCTGTGGAAGTAATCGCAAANTAGTTATGGTTTCCTCCAACAGTCTGTTTGTTGGAGTGCCAGCATTGAAAGTCACGTTTCTTTCACCATCTCTCATGGGATAGATTACGATGGTATTCTCTCCTGGTGTCAAACAATATAAACTACCAAAAATATCAGATTCACTAAGGGACCCTCCAAGATTGTAAATATAAGGAAAAGATAATGTACCACCAATTTCGTTTACGTTTTGAATCTCATCGGTAATAGTACATCTGAACATGGCATATCCTTCGTAACTTTCACCAGAATAAGTGTAACACGTGGCATAGGTCTTTCCACCAGCTTCGAAATTGAATGTCTGACTGTCAGCTGTGAAAGCATAAGCACAAATAAAAGAATATTGGAACGTATCACCAGGCATTACATCATTAGAGTTCATTTTCCAACCAACAGTAGCCACCCAACCTGGGTCAGAAGGAAGGGGGTAGGGGGAGTCTCCTTGGTAAGTATAAGAATCAAAAGTCGTAAGAATACCGAAANCCTCTGTTGAACAAGCCACAGCACAAGTGGCAGCAAAAGCCAATAACCTCGACAACTTCATTTTGTATACGGAGCACTATATAAACCATGAAAAACGAGAGAAAGGCACTATAAATAATGATGCCCCAAGTCCAATTTTAGTTTTCCAATCCTCTTCCTCAAATATGCAGAGCACTCGGGTAAATTTGCGGTATCAGCTTGGTAATGCTTGATGTATCTCTTGATAATACTGTCTTCTGCAGATGAACTATAAATTCAGAGGTACATAGAAGTTTTTTGCAGTTTTTAGTTGACCTAGGTTTATCTCTTAAGTTTGGAAAATAAAAGTTTTAATAAAATAGTTTTAACACAACTTTTGGTTTTTGCAACTGTGATCTACTCAGTCTCCTTTTCAAATGCTAGCATCTTTGGTGAAGTATAAGGATCTTAGATCATGCTAACATTTCAATGTGCGCCAAAATATTTAACAAGAGTACTTTAGATGCTTCATTGCGCAAGATCTGCAACAGCTTATTAAAATATTATCAGAACTTGCTGGTTTATGGAACCTTTCGTAAATGAATATTATTAAAAAATAAGATTGAGTCAAGTCTGGAGAAAGTCTTTTTAGGCTACAGATTTTATTTGTTCAAACTGCCTTCGGATAGTGTTTTCTTACTTTCATCTTTCAGATGAATATGTTTAAAGGGCGGGAGTGGCTTTTCTTTGGAGCCTCAAAAATGATTCTGCTTCTTGAAGAGAGCAATTTGTAATGCAATCAGTGCAATGACTCTAAAACTAGACGATAGGTTAGTTGTATATTCTGAATGGAACGGTTCCGGTGTGCTGGTATTTATTGAGGTATTTGTACTTACTTTGATAGCCTTTCGGTTCGTTCTTGAGTCAGAAAAGCATGGGTTTATCTGAAATATGGATAGGAATCTTTCTTCATGAAAAGGGGAAGCGATGGTGAGCAAAAGAGATAAAAATATTGTATGCTCAAAGGAACATTTTAAGTGGTCCTATACATAATAGGGTCACTTATGTGTGTTTGCCCACTTTGGTTACAATCACCATTGAAACTATTGGAATAGTTATGAAAGAAGCAATAGCAATGAATTCATTTTTTCTACATGGCCATTTCAGTGACAACTGGTGTATAACTATTTGAATATCGATCGATAATGGAGGCTCTTATATTAAATGCAGGCCACTTCAAGTCTTAATGAAAATAATTCTTCTCTAGAAGCCTCTGGTGTTCCTGAAAATAAAATATTATTTTGGCTAGTATGTGCTTGAAGGGTTTCCATTTGTAGAAAAATTAGCCCAAATAGCAGAAGTTGGACGTGGTAGGATTAAGGATTTTTCTTGTACCTAGCCTTCATTAGTAATATTTTTCTCATGATAAATTCCTAGCCTTATGGCTTTATTTTACTTATAGGCAACGCGAGTTTTTAATCCAGTTAATCGCATAGGCTATTGATACCTCTAACATGTTTACAACATTACCATCCTTTCAATTGCCTNTCAGGTGGGAAAACAGTACACCTTTTATCAAGAATCATGATCATCAACACTCTTGCAACAAAAAGGCACTATTAAGGATGCTACTATTGTAAAATATCTCAAATTTTCTGTGTGACCTTCGGTCTAAAATTTCACCTTCAATTTTGCAGGGGCATTAGAGAAGATGTTAGTGAGGCCCTACGGCTCGTAAACTAAAAATAAGGGATATTCTAAGTGAAGAAAATTTCTTAAGTTAAGCAACGCATACTGTTTGCATTTTTGATTGTTTGTTTAATGCTGTGAACAGTCCTGTTAAGATCTTATTTGTACAGTGATAACGAAAAGAACGTGTACACTGTAGTGGCAAAGTTGGTCTTCGAGGTCTTGATTTTCGCAACTATTCGAAAATCCAAAGATAGGGACAACATCCTTTACATAGTTGTTTGGATCCATTATTTTCATCATCACTGGCGCAAGGCGGGCTTCGATGACCATATGCATTCTTCCACCGCGTAAGCTGTAAAACTATGTTCCGTGCCTTCGAAATTTTTTAGTTTCGGCTGCAGANTTCTCACCCGCAGTTCTGCAAAAGAATCTCGAGAACATATGCAAGCCGGATTTAAAATGTCACCAAGGTATACAACTCCGTTTAAAGTTATTTGTCCCTCCTATTTACGAAGTTAGATTTGCGTTCGCGTCTAATTGTGATAGTTAGTAAATTATGTTTTTGGCCGAGTCACTATTTTTCACAATTTCCCAGCCAGCAGAATATCACACGATTTGGTCCGGACTTGCAGTCCTACGAAAGAATCGGGTACAGTATTATTACATTGAGTAAAACTAATTTGATAATGTTACCTCCTTCCTATAGGACTATTGAAAGATTGGAAAGGAAGTATCAAGATGAATAGAATAAGTTTCGGATCCTGTAGGCTCTAACTTACAGAAAGTGCAACTGGGTAACAAACCTTTAGCAGGACTCTTGCACTTTCAAATCATTGCTTCTCGCATCCCTTATCTTCAACTATCCACCTAGTCTAGCAGAAAGCGATAAGCATGCAAAAAATATTATTGAATGAAACCTAACTTCCATAAATACTTCCAGCTTCTTGAATTTCAAGGCGCTCGAATTTTCATTGCATTATANTTAAATATGAAGGTGTGCATATCATCAACTTTGATTATCAACCCATGATTTCAGAGCATGGCAATAGGGATGTTTAATG